CATTTTTTTGTTTGGGGGGGGGGGGGTTTAGTATTCTGACACCTGCTGCCATCGAAATATAAAAAAATAAAATAAAGACGACACAGAAATGAATAGCTATATTGCTTTGGCTTTTTGAATTTGCAATAGCCAATAGCAAGCTGCCTATTGCACCCGCCCTCTGCTGCTGTAAATCAATAGAGAGAGGACCTGATGGAGAACTTCAGGTCCACCTCTGATGATTGACATACTTGAGCAGACTAAACCTTTCCGGAAGAAAATGTTTCTCTCCCGGGCGGCCGGGAGCCGCTATCTAGCGGGAGACTCCCGAAACGTCCAGGAGAGTTGGCATGTCTGCCCACTACAGAGGGATTTTGTTATTTAACTTGGAGATAGGCTTTAAATATCAAAATTTCTGTTTCTCAGGAATCTGAATTTTGAACCAGCTGTATGAGGTTTTACATGGATATACAGTATACAGTATTTGTCAGCTGTACTACACAGCTCAGTAGAAAGGAAAGCAGACAAATTCTGAGCGTTATAATTATTCTTCAGCTAGGTTCATCACAAATCAAGATGTGAAAACAGGTTATCCACACTGTATTTTACTCATTTGCGTGTTTGGCTTGCAGTTCTTCAGCTCTTTGACCAATATAAACAGGAAGGCCTAACACATGCTACAGGATCAGGAAGAAATACTGGAATCGTTCAGGACTTGAAGTGGCTGTTTGTCCTTGGTGAAATATGTGACCTAAAGCTTCCTAAGGGATTTATGCAACCTCGTTTCTAGCTGTATATATTTCCAGTATTTGTCCAGTCTATGGTCAAAGGTCAGTTATCCTAAATTACCAAGAGAAACAACGGCTACATTTGCATTAAGAGCGGATGTTCCATTTCCCATTGTTTTCTTGTTGCACAAGTGGCTCACATTCTCCAGGTTATGACCCTAGTAGATAGACTGCCCTTTCTACCCCTTACCAGGAAAATAATATCACAGAGATCTCCTATACATTGAAGACATGCTGAAGCTGCCTGGCCTGGCTACACTTTCCAAACAGAAGTCTTGGCCAGCAACCACGTATTTAGAGTGCAGAAAAAATATGGCTGTTTAAGACTACCCATTGAGCTAGGACTGTGTTATCTTACTATTATCAGAGTTGTATTAGTTTGAGCATAAGTCATAATTGTTGCCAGTATAAGGGAAATAAAATTATTCTGTTTGAGAATGCGAGAATTATGTGCTTCGTTCATCCATGCATCTTAGATTTCCGCCGCGATATCGCGCATTTTTCCCGCGATATCGCGCATTTTTCCTGCGCGATATCGCGAGAAGTCGCCGGCCAATGCTATTCAATGGAGCTGTCTTAACTCCATGTCTCGCGTCGCTCGTCGCGGTCGCAAGTCGCTTCTACCGGACCCTTTTTTCGGCGGATTTTGCGCGATTTTGCTTTTTTTCTATGGAGCCCGACGGAGAACGTCGCACTACCGTCGCTGGAACGTCGCCCCGAAAGTCGCGCTATCCCGGCCGCTGCAAAGGTATGTCGCTACATGTGAACAGCTGTCATTCAGGATGGCCTAGCAGTGAGGAGAGAGAGGGAGCCGCTCGGCCAGGATCTGATTCTCGGCCGTTCTGAAGTGACAGCGCTCCCTCCTTCCCCCTTCTATCCCCCTTGTCATCCTGGATGCGGGGCGCATGATGTCACATGAAGCTGCGCATGTGCACCGTCTGGTGACATCACACGTCTGTTGGGGGGGCATCATTTTCTGTTCTTGCCTTGGGTGCAAAAGGCACTAGCTACGGCTCTGGTGTAATGTGTAGGAGTGCTTAGTGGTGCATGGTGTTAAAGCATATGTTACCCCTAAGTTTAATATTTTATGTCTGTGAGTCTGTGTGTAATAATGGCCTGTTCGAGTTGCATTTTTTCTTTTTATTAGGAATACCTAGTGATTCTCCCAGTCTCTCTCTT